AAAAAAAAAAAAAAAAAAAAAAAAAAAAAAAAAAAAAAAAAAAAAATATATATATTAATAGGCTTAAATATGCTTTATTAAAGTAAGTTTTAATTAGTAAAAATAAATTTTTTTTTTAACTAAATAACTAATTAAATTCTTTATTATTAGATAATAAATAATAATTTAAATCTTATTATAAACTATACTATAAAATAAATTTTAAAACACTTTATTTTTTTTCTGATCTCAAAATTTTGATTAAAATTTTAGCTCTATTTATATAGCAATACTAAACTTAGAATTTTAGTTCATAAATTTAGCAGATTGTTTTATATAGTTTGTTTATCTTGTAGTAGTAATTAAAAGAGTTTCAAATTTTAGAATTAATAGATTTAAAATTATTGTATAAGATTCTTTAATAAAAGATAGAATAATTTTAAATCAGATAATTATTTACTTGTATACTTTATATATTCTGAATATTTTGATAAGTTTATATATATTTAATACAATTAAAATTAAATTTATAATAATATAATTTTTTTATTAGATGCTAAATTATGTAATTAAAAATTTAAGTAATTGCAATAATAGCAATTAATATATAGAAAAAAAAAGAATATAACAAATATAAATATGCAAATCTTGTAGCTTATATGAAACAATTTTATAAAAAAAAAAAATAAATTTGATTTGCTATATAGCTTTAAAACAAATACATCTTTATTATGATAACTAATAAACTTTATTGATACAAGATTGACTAAACAACTTGCAATTAAAATTTTTTAATTACACCTTATTCAGCAGATTGTAAAAGAACTTTTCTATATTGAGCTAGTTATATAGAAAATGATATCAATAACTATCATAGAAAATAAAATTAGCTTATTTTAAAAAAATACTACTGTATTGACTAATGATCTACAAGAGTTAGTATCAGCAACTTTTTAAGTAAATCTAGTGATGAAAATATTATTGAAGTTATAAATAGAAATAGAACAAAATTTAGAAGAAAGTAATTATCTTAGTATTAAGAATATTGTAAATTTGAACTATAAAACATTTCAAGATAATAAATCTGATATTGATAGTGAAAAATCACAAATTAATATTGATGAAGAGATTAATGAATCAGATAATGAATTTGCAATAAGTAAAGAAAGTCAAGGTATATTCGTTTTCAATTCTACAGATTTAGCAACAAATTTAGTAAAAAAATAGAAATATAATAATTTAGATATTGAAAGTGCAGATGAAGATATGAGTGATAATTTAGATTTGAGTGATAATTTAGATATAAGTAATAATTTAGATAATGAAGAAGATGTAGATTTTGTTTCAGCATTAGATAGTGAAAATTTAGCTATTGCACATCGAAAGGCATGTCGTGAACATTATAAATAATAATAGAATATGTTCTAGTTGGACTTAGATTATAAATCAATTTTAATAAAAATTTTCATTTGCTTGCTTAAATATATCCGATAAATTACTATATATAATTGTATCTTAATTTGTTAATGATTATAAATAACTATTATTATTTTATTTTTAATTATTTGTCAATCGCCAGTAGATTTTATTAATAATTAGTACATCCAACTTTTTTTTTAGAACAAATCAATATTAATTTTAAAAGGTATAAAGTTTACATATTATAAAGTCTATTACAGGAAAAAAGATTGATATTTATTGGTCAAATTAATTTGTCAAGAGTTTCGCCATTTGTCAGAGGTTTCGCCATTCGTCAAGATTTCGTCAAGCAACTAATTTGACAAAACCTTTCTTCATTTCAAAAATAGTTTCGTCAGGTATCATTAACTATAGTATTCAAGCTACAACTCAATACTATATTACTTGAGTTTATTATCGATTTTCAGAGAAAAATCATCAAGTACAAACATTAACTATGGAGGGTTATTAGTTAAACTATTCTACGCATAGTAAAATAAAAAAATAAAATAATTCGTGAAAATAAAATAAACAATAACTATGAAATAATAATTATATGAGATATAGTAGATATTAAAAATATTAAAATGTTAGATACAAATAGAAATTGTATAACTATCGGGTCGATTCGAAATACGTTTAAGTATGTGGCTTTTTCATGATTATGCATGTTCATGAGATCACATAAAATTTCTAATAATCAACTATAACAATAAAGAGCTTAATTCAGAGTAACTTACTACATCTCTTCGTTGTTTATAAATTAATTTACACTCACCCTAACATTAATCTTTAAATTAATTATAATAGGCGATATTGCCGGTGAAAATTATCTAAAAATTTAGATATTTCTTATTAAAAGATATTTTATAAAATTATAAATTATATGATTTAAAAAAGTAATTCTGTGCTCACCTCCTAATTAATTAATTGATGTAATCGATTAGAAAAGCTTTATTTAATTTAATTATAGATTATAAAATTCTATTTGCAAAATAATTGTACTCACGAGCTAATGATTTAATTCATGTAATCGATTAGAGAAATTTCATTTAATTATAATAAAATTTCAATGTACAAAATGATTATGTACTCACTCTCAACTAATGATTTAAGTTATGTAATCGATTAGAAAAATACTTAATTACAGGTTGTAAAATTTCAATTTACAAAATGATTATTTACTCACCAACTGATGATTAATACATGCAATCGATTAGATAAGTTTTATTGAAGTATAAGTTATAAAAATTCCAATTTGCAAAATAATTCTTTACTTACCAACTGATGATTAATTCATGCAATAGATTAGATAAGTTTTATTGAAATATAAGTTATAAAAATTCCAATTTGCAAAATAATTCTGTACTCACCAACTGATAGTTAATTCATGCAATCGATTAGTTAAGTTTTATTGAATTATAAGTTATAAAAATTTCAATTTGCAAAATAATTCTTTACTCACGCGCTATTGATTTAATTGATATAATCAATTAGAAAATATTTAATTACAGATTGTAAAATTTCAATTTCAAAATAATTCTGTACTTACCTGATGATTAATTCATACAATCGATTAGATAAATTTTATTGAATTATTAGTTATAAAAATTTCGATTTACAAAATAATTCTGTACTCACCCGCTAATGATTAATTCATGTAATCAGAAAAGTTTTATTTAATATAGGTTATAAAAATTTCAGTTTACAAGTTTGCAAAATAATTCTGTACTTACGGACTAATGGTTTATGAATCGATTAGAAAGTCATAAAATTTCAATTTAAAAAATAATTTTATACTCACACGCTTATTATTTAATTCAAATAATCGATTAGAAAATATTTAATTACAGGTTGTAAAATTTCAATTTATAAATTAATTCTGTACTCACCAACTGATGATTAATTCATACAATTGATTAGATAGATTATAGGTTATAAAAATTGCAAAATAATTCTGTACTCACCCACTAATAATTTAATTAATATAATTACGTAATTAGGTATTATTTAATTATATGTTATAAATTTCAATTTACAAATAATTCTGTACTCACCCGCTAATGATTTAATTTATATAATCAATTAGAGAAGTTTTATTTATTATAATTATATGTTATAAATTTCAATTTACAAATAGTTCTGTACTCACCCGCTAATGATTTAATTTATATAATCAATCAGAAAATACTTAATTGTAGGTTGTAAAATTTCAATTTACAAATTAATTCTGTACTCACCAACTGATGATTAATTCATGCAATCGATTAGATAAGTTTTATTGAATTATAAAATTTCAATTTACAAAATAATTCTTTACTCACTTGCTAATGATTTAATTCATATAATAAATTAGAAAATACTTAATTACAGTTTGTAAAATTTTAATTTACAAATTAATTCTGTACTCACCAACTGTCGATTAATTCATGCAATCGATTAGATAAGTTTTATTGAATTATAAGTTATAACAATTTCAATTTACAAAATAATTATGTACTCACCTCCTAATGATTTAATTAATATAATCAAATGTTTTATTTATGGTAATTATATGTTATAAATTTCAATTTACAAAATAATTATTTACTCACGCACTAATAATTTAATTAATATTATTATTAATTAGAAAATACTTCATTACAGGTTGTAAAATTTCAATTAATACATTAATTCTGTACTCACCAACTGATGATTAATTCATATAAATCAATTAGAAAATACTAATTACAGGCTGTAAAATTTCATTTACAAATTAATTCTGTACTCACCACCTAATAATTTAATTCATGTAATTGATTATATAAGTTTATTGAATTATAGATTTTAAAAATTTAAAATAATTCTGTACTCACCCGCTAATGATTTAATTTATATAATCAATTAGAGAAGGTTTACTTATGATAATTATATGTTATAAATTTCAATTTACGAATGATTCTTTACTCACTTGGCAAAGCTTTAATTCATATAATTAATTAGAAAATTCTTAATTATAGGTCATAAAATCCAGTTTATAAATTAATTCTGTACTCACCAACTGATATTAATTAATGCAATAAATTAGATTGAATTTAAATATAAAAATTTCAATTTACAAAATAACTCTATACTCACGGACTAATGATTTAATCATGTAATCAGAAAGTTCTATTTAATTATAGGTTATAAAATTTCAGTTTACAAGTTGCAAAATAGTTCTGTACTTACTTGCTAATGATTTAATTTATATAATTCATATAATCAATTAGAGAAGTTTTATTTAATTATATATTATAAATTTCAATTTACGAAATAATTCTTTACTCACTTTCTAATGATTTAATTAATACAATCGATTAAAGAAATTTAATTATATATTATAAATTTCAATTTACAAAATAATTATCTACTCACTCGCTAATGATTAAATTCATATAATCAATTAGAAAATACTTAATTACAGGTTTTAAAATTTCAATTTACACATTAATTCTGTACTCACCAACTAATGGTTAATTCATATAATTGATTAGAAAATACTTAATTACAGGTTGTAAAATTTCTATTTACAAATTAATTCTGTACTCACCACCTAACACATGTAATCGATTAGATAAGTTTATTGAATTATAGGTTTTAAAATTTCAATTTACAAAATAACTCTGTACTTACTCGCTAATAATTTAATTTATATAATCAATTAGATAAGCTTTATTTAATTATATGTTATAAATTTCAAATACAAAATAATTCTTTACTCACGAGCTATTGATTTAATTTATATAATCGATTAGATAAGTTTTACTTAATTATAAATTATAATATTTCTTTACTCACCAACTGATGATTATTCGTGCAATTGATTAGATAAGTTTTGTTGAATTATAAGTTACAAAAATTTCAATTTATAAAATAATTCTGTACTCACGTGCTAATTATTTAATTCATATAATTGATTAGAAGATATTTAATTACAGGTTGTAAAATTTCAATCTCTGTACTCACCTGATGATTAACGTTAATTTATGCAATCGATTAGATAAGTTTTATTGAATTATAAGTTATAAAAATTTCTATTTACAAAATAATTCTGTACTCACCCACTTTCATATAAATTGATTAGAAAATATTAATTACCGGTTGTAGAATTACAAATTAATTCTATACTTACCACCTAATGATAATCGATTAGATAAGTTTTAAATGATAAAAATTTTATACATAACAATTCTGTACTTACGAGCTAATGATTTAATTTATATAATCAATTAGATAAGTTTTATTTAATTATCAATTTACAGAATAATTCTTTACTCACTTGCTAGTGATTTAATTCATATAATCAATTAGAAAATAATTACAAGTTGTAAAATTTTAATTAACTTTGTACTCACCAACTTATGATGATTAATTCATGCAGTCGATTAGATAAGTTTTATTGAATTATAAGTTATAAAAATTTCAATTTACAATACTCACTCGCTAATGTTTGAATTTATATAATCAATTAGAGAAGTTTTATTTATGATAATTATATATTATAATTTCAATTTATAAAACAATTCTTTACTTACAACCTAATGAGTTAATTCACGTAATCGATTAGAGAAAAGTTTTAGGTATAAAAATTTCAAATTATAGATTAATTCCGTACTTACCCTCTAATGATTTAATTCACATTGAATTTATTAGAAGTTTCATTTAATTATAGATTATAAAAATTCAAATTAACAAAGAAAATAATATTATACCTCCTAATTAATACATAATTGGTTGAGACATTTCATTTAATTGTAGATTAAAAATTTGAATTTATTAGAAGCTTCAATTAAAATTTCCATTTTTAGATTAACTTTCTACTCACATCACTAATAATTTACCAATTCAAGTATATTTAATTAGAGAAATTTATTTAATTTCTATTTAAAAATATAAATTTATACTCACAGACTAAAAATATATCAATGTATATTTAATTAAAGTTTTATTTAATAACAAATTGCTATAAAATTAATCATGCCTTCGCGTTTGTCTAGATATAAAATGAGATTAATAAAATTATCACAATAATTTGTTTTCTATAATAACTAAACAGTTATAAAAAAAAAAAAAAATGATTTATTACTCTTAAAGACTGACGAGCTTGAAACAGTTGAAGAGAAAATAACTGCAAAGACTGCAACTAAGGTTAACAAGAGTTTAAAATTCATTTTGAAGTCGTGTTTGCTTTTATTAAATTGGCGGTAACTTACAGTATCTTGAAATACATAAAAGACCTCTTTATATAGTTGACGCCGTAATTAATTCTCAGAATAAATGCAATTACAGCACTGAACGACAATGTTACTATCGCTATCGCAACTTGCTTCGCCTAAATAATTAACATTATTTACTTATTTTATGGGGTCTTTGCCAAGAAAATCACGTTTGGATCATATGATTTACCATGTCCCGATAAGATCATTTTCTAGGCAAAGACCCCTTATCTCCTTATTTATCTATACTTATCCCCTTACGGATTCATATACAGGAACGGGAGTGCATTTTCACGGATTTCGGTATTTCTTTATTGTATGCTACAGTAATAATTTGTATTGAGGACCTTCTTTTCTAAGTTAACAATATTTAAAATTTTTTGTCTATACAGTACGTATTTATAATGATCAGCGTAAGTAGATCAAAGTTTACTATTTTAATTAAATATGTAAGAAAAATGAATCTACAATCCATGTTCATAAATTTTACTAATTAAATCTTTTAATTCATTCAAGTTGACAGTAAGGTCAACAGATCGTAAGTAGAACTATGCAGTGATGCATCAGCACATGCATTTACGATATACAAGAAAATTCAGGATCATGCAACTCCGGGGTTGATAACGCCACGGGAGGATAGATAAGTATTTCAATAAACTACTAATCTTGGGAATTATGATATCAAATTCTAATATGATCGAATTGCAATTATATAAGTGAAGAATAGTATGAACGCTGTAAGGGTCGAATTTGGTCATCTCGGATGTACTACCATACGACGTAGTACGATGTTCTATAATTAGTCCATAGATTCTTGTTTAATCTTTTTATGAATCATCATTTACCTTAATTAAACTAGCCCGATGTTCACGATGTACTAAATGTTACTTATGTGGTATATGCATATATGACATATATGACAATGTCTCAAATGGTTACGGTACGATTCTCCGAAAACTATTTACCCGAAAGTCTATTTACCCGACATCACCTATGATAAATTGTCATCCTATGTGATATCGTGTAAATAAGTAGTTTTCGGGGAATTGAGCGACAACCATTCGAACCAGAACCAGTCCCGATTTTTACAACGCCTATTGCCAATCTTTAAAAAAGGCAAATTTGCAAGAATCCTGCTATTTCTTTTTGCAAGCTATTCATATTCACAACTGGCTTACACTACACAAGCGGGAAACCACCAGCTAATGTTGTACGACAGCTAACGTTATACTTCGCTATTCTGACCACAAACAGTTGGCCCACTTCATATGAAACTGGCAGGAAACCACCAGCTGGTCACTAAAATATTTATACATCAATCGCACTGATGTATGTTGCTAAAGCATTTTGTTTAATAAAGTTTTAATATCTAGTCTGCTATGCTGAAACTAATTCAAAAAAAAACCTGATATCACATGCATGTAATTTCTTTCGTTACATAATTTAGTAGATGAATATAAAGGATATTTATCGTGGTTTGCATATGTTTCATATTAAAATCACTCGATTAAGTTTTGCAGATCATGTTTTATATTAAAATCATCAGATTGTACAAAATTATTTAAGCGTAAATTAGGCCATTCCAAGTTGATTTTATGGTTAACGTTACTATTACACTAATAAAAGTCTAAACAGGAAGTGGAAATAAAAAAAAAAAACATAAGATTTTGATTGGCTAAAAAAAATTTTTTTGAACAGTCAATATGATTTTTATATTAAATGATGTTATTTACTCCTATATATGAGGCTCAAAGAGAGGTTATGTTGAATATAGTTTTAAATTGCAAACCGCAATAAATATAAAACTAGATTTTGTATCATATGTGCTAGGAGTTCTGATTAAGGTATAGGTGGATTTGAGTTCATATAATATTTCAGGTTGATTTGATTAGAGCATTAGAATATTTCTTTAAAATATGCTAGAAAAATGGCATGTTTTGTAGGTTGGAGCCTTAAATATTGGAATTTATATTTTAGAAATAAATTAACTTCTTTAGTCAAACACTTTATTATATGTATTATAATTTATTACAAGTAATATGTACTATCTTAGAACTAATTTATCTTTGAAGTATTCTTGATCTAATTGAGACTATTTCCACAGGTTGAAATTTAAAATTTCAACAAGATTTCAGTAAGCTATCAGTAGAATATAAGATATTTATTTAATTAATAGCTACCAGATACTTGGTATATATTACTTATCTATCAGATAGATATTGCTTTTGATAGGTCTATTAAACATCTAATACTTCTATTAATAAATTTAAATATCTGATATTTATAATAGAAGTATCAGATATCTAATAGACCTATCAGAAGTAATATCTATCTGATAAGTAGAAGATATATACTAAGTATTTAGTAGTTATTTGTCAAATAAATATCTAATATTCTACTAATAGCTTATTGAAATCTTGTTAAAATTTTAAATTTTAACCTGTGTCTATTATAGTGTTTTATTAGAATTTATACTATAATTATTTTTATTAGATCATCTTTTCTATATTTCTTGTATCTCTCATATTTATATAAAGATACTATAAGTTATATAAAGTATTATTAATTTTTATGAATAACTTTCTATTTGGTATCTAGCTAGTTTTATAATTTAACTCTAATTGTATATTTTCTAATTAGTATAATTACAACTAAAGTTTTAGCCTACAACTTAATAAAACTATTACAAAATTAGAGATATTATTTTATAATAGAATACAAATTATTAACTTTTTTTAATAATTATTTGTACCAAATTTTCTTGAATAAAACTTGTAATATTTTAAAATTCTACTAAGTAAATTATCTTTAGCTATTTAAATAAAGTTATTCTACATATAATTTTATATCTGAGTAGTATAGTTTTATATCTTGTAATTAGTTTTTTAACAAGATATCTTAACTAAAGTATAGAAATACTTTAGGACTAATATTTCAAAATTTTATTAAATATTCATTTTTTTTTACTTAATACAAAAAAAATTACTATACTGTTAGCTTTATTTTAATATATAATATATCAAAAACAAATTAAAACTTAATTTTTATTTAAAAAAACTTTATAAATATTTTACAAAAAATTTGTTCTCTTTTTTTTACAAATTTTGAGAAATTTTTTTGACCTGATTATTCCAACATATTGTTACAAGTAGTATAGCTTTCTTAATATATCCCAAGTAACATAAGATATAGAAGAGGAACTCCTAATAGTATCCAAGTAGAATATTACATCACTGTAGCAGTTTGTTAGAGAAGTTTATTTTTAAAGCCAAAAGATTATATTTATTAAAGAACTAGTAAAGAATTTAGAACTTTATTGAGTACTGTATTATTAGAATAGGACTATACAGACTTATTTTACAGGAAGAAGAAAAGAGAGAGTTTATATAGCTTTATAGAAAAGTAAGAAAAGTAATTTATTCTAATGTTGTTTCTAAGATAACTCAATAACTATATATCCTACAGATATGAAATATAGCTCATTTCAAAGATAATTGAGCTGAATCTAATAGTAAAATCTAAATCTAACTTTAGCTAATAAGTATTAAAAAAAATGATGATAACTAAATTTAAATATAATAATTAAGAAATATGCTAAAAACTATTTTATAACAATATTCTAGACAAATTACAATAAGCTTATAAATCTTAATTATACAAAAAATTAAATTTAATTAAGTTCTAAAATTAGATTTTATATTAATTAATACAAAACTTTATTATATATTCATCAATTTTAATATATTATAAATTATTATTACTTATTTATTTATTATTTCTTAACTAATATTCTTTTTTTGTTATCTTGTTAATTATTATATCTTTTATTTATTATACTATTTTATTAATTATACCTCTTATTTGTCATTTTTTTTTTAACAAATTTTTAGTTTTCTTTTTAAAAATATTTTCATACTTTTTTTATTATATTATTCTTTAAAAATATTATTAATATATCTATTTTAGTTAATTCTACTCTAGACTCTTATAATATTGACTACTTTCTTTTTTAATATTTAGATTGTTAAATTATTAGCTTTATTGAAACAGATATAAGCAAAATATATATTCTTATTACTTGCTTTAATTCTTAATAATATAAATCTGCAAAACAAAATCTTTACTATTTATATATATTTGAGTAACTACAAGTTGTAACTTACTTATTTAGAAAATATTACTCTATTTTTACCTCTTAAAAATTCAAATATAATAATATATTCAGATCTCTACTTTAACTTTAACTACAACTTTAGCTCTAATTACTAATTTTAGTACAAAACTATTCAATAAAGATAAATTCTTATTTCTATCTCTTATTAAACTTATCTTATAATCTACTTCTACTATTCTTTTTTTTTTAAATAATATTAATTTTAGCTAATATTATTGATTTAATTATAACTTCTATTACTATATATATTTATTATATCTATATTTATATAATCTGTTATTTGCAAAATATTATTTGTAGTTTTAGCAATCATAGTATAATAATTAGATTACCAGACTACTATACAAGAAATCTGAGATTCAAATCTAAATGTCAAAAAATTTGAATAATTACCTAAACCTTTATATCTAACTTATGATAAATCTATTTATTTCTGAAGTTGTAACTCTGTAAATCTTATTGTACTAATATTATCAAGATATTAGAAGTATAACATAATATTGTATGAATAAATCTTAATAGGATCTATAGATAAGGGGTAGTACTTATTTCACAGACACTTAACTCACAGACATACTACTTCGCAGATACTGATTTTATAGACAAGGTTACTTTACTAATATACGGTTCCAGACAATTATTTTATAGACAAGTTTATTTTACAAACAAGCTCATTTAACCGACAGAAAATTTACCAAAAAACCTTTTACCAACAAGATCAGTTCATAGACAAGCTTATTTTATTGACAGTATGATTCACTGATAATACGATTCACTGACAATATAATTTACTGATAATACAATTCACCGACAATATAATTCACTAATAATATGATTCACTGAAAGTACATTTCACCGATAATACAATTTATTGACAAATTTGTCTAATAGATAGGCTATCATCATGCAAGAAAAGTGCAAGTTGAATTAAAGATTAGTTTGAGCAAAAAACCAAATTATCTATGCAAAGAAAAGAAAAAGTGATGCAATACTTGTCTAATTACTAATACAAAAGACTTGATTCGAATTTGTGAAAAAAAAGAAAAGACAGAATTAATATTGAACGAAAAACCAAATTATTTATGTGATACTTGACCTAATTTATCATTATGCGAAGACTTGATCAGAATTTGTGAAAAAAAAAAAGAAACTAAATTATATTGAGCGAAGAACCAAATTATTTATGCAAAGAAAAAAAAGCAATGTGATAATTGACCAAATTTATAGTTACACAAAGACTTGATCTGAATTTGTGAAAAAAAAGAAAAGACAGAACTAATATTGAGCAAAGAACCAAATTATTTATGCAAAGAAAAAAAATTAATACGATAATTGATCAAATTTATCATTACGCGAAGACTTAATCTGAATTTGTGAAAAAAAAAATGAGACAAAAATATTAAGCAAAGAACCAAATTATTTATGCAAAAAAAAAAAAAGCAATGCGATAATTGACCAAATTTATCATTACGCGAAGACTTGATCTGAATTTATGAAAAAAAAAAGAGACTGAATTATATTGAGAGATAAACTAAATTATTTATAGAAAGAAAAAAAAAGCAATGCGATAATTGACCTAATTTATTATTACACAAAGACTTGATCCGAATTTAAAAAAAAAAGAGACAGAAAAATATTAAGTGAAGAACCAAATTATTTATACAAAGAAAAAAGCAATGCGATAATTGACAAAATTTATCATTACGCAAAGACTTAATTCGAATTTGAAAAAAAAAAAGATACTGAATTATATTGAGCAATAAACCAAATTATTTATTCAAAGAAAAAAAGAGCAATGCGATATTTGACTAAATTTAACATTATGCGAAGACTTAATTCAAATTTGTGAAAAAAAAAAAGAAACAGAATAACAATTAAGCAAAGAACCAAATTATTTATGCAAAGAAAAAAAGCAATGTGATACTTGGCCAAATTTATCGTTATGCAATAACCTGATCTGAATTTGTGAAAAAAAAAAAAAGAGACAGAAAAATATTAAGTGAAGAACCAAATTATTTATGCAAAGAAAAAAAGCAATGCGATACTTGACCTAATTTATTGTTATGTGAAGACTTGATCTGAATTTGTGAAAAAAAAAGAGACTGAATTATATTGAGTGATAAACCAAATTATTTATTCAAAGAAAAAAAAAAAAGTAATGTGATACTTGACCAAATTTATCATTCGCGAAGAATTAACTTGAATTTGGAAAAAAAAGGAAGAGACAGAATAAATATTGAGTGAAGAACCAAATTATTTATGCAAATAAAAAAAAAAGTGATATGAAACTTGACCTAATTTACTAGTACGCGAAGACCTGATCCAAATTTATAAGAAAAAAAATTAATGTGCGAAAAATCAAGTGTTTATGCAAAAAACCCAAAAAAGCAATATGATACTTGATCTAATTTATTGCTACGCAAAGATCTGATTCAAATTTATGAGAAAAAAAATTGATGAGAGTGTTTACGCAAAAAAAAAGAAAGCAATACATACTTAGCTTAATTTATCATTATGCAAAGACCTGATTCAAATTTATGACAAAAAAAATTGATGAGTGAAGAATCAAATGTTTATAAAAAAAAAAGAAAGCAATGCATACTTAGCCTAATTTATCATTATACAAAAACCTGATTCAAATTTATGAGAAAAAAATTAATGAGCGAATAATTAAATATTTATTAAAAAAAAAAGAAAGCGATGCATACTTAGCCTAATTTATCATTATGCGAAAACCTAATTCAAATTTATAACAAAAAAAATTAATGAGTGAAGAATCAAATGTTTATAAAAAAAAAGAAAGTGATGTATACTTAGCCTAATTTATCATTACACAAAAACCTGATTCAAATTTATGAGAAAAAAAATTGATGAGCGAAGAATCAAATGTTTATTAAAAGAAAAAGAAAGCGATGCATACTTAGTCTAATTTATCGTTACATGAAAATCTAATTCAAATTTATAACAAAAAATATTGATGAGCAAAGAATCAAATATTTATAAAAAAAAAAGAAAGTAATGCATACTAAGTTTAATTTATCATTATGTGAAGACCTGATTCAAATTTATGAGAAAAAAAATTGATGAATGAAGAATAAAGTGTTTATGCAAAAAACCCAGAAAAAGCAATTAAGCAAAGAATCAAATGTTTATAAAAAAAAAGAAAATGATGCATACTTAGCCTAATTTATCATTACACGAAGACTTAATTCAAATTTATGAGAAAAAAAATTGATGAGTGAAGAATGAAGTGTTTGTGCAAAACAACTCGAAAAAGCAATTGAGCGAAGAATTAAAAGTTTATGAAAAAAAAGAAAGCGATACATACTTAGCCTAATTTATCATTACATGAAAACCTGATTTAAATTTATGAGAAAAAAAAATTGATGAATGAAGAATCAAATGTTTATGAAAAAAAAGAAAGCGATGCATACTTAGCCTAATTTATTATTATGCAAAGACCTGATTCAAATTTATTAGAAAAAAAAATTGATGAGCAAAAAATCAAATGTTTATGAAAAAAAAAAAAAAAGCGATGCATACTTAGTCTAATTTATCATTATACAAAGACCTGATTCAGATTTATAAGAAAAAAAAATTAATGAGCAAAGAATAAAAGTTTATAAAAAAAAGAAAGTGATGCATACTTAGCCTAATTTATAATTACGCAAATACCTGATCTGAATTTATGAGAATAAATGAATTAGCATTAAAATAATGCTAATTTTAAATCTTGCATATATCCTAATTAATAAAGTAATATTCATCTTGTCTTAATTTAGAATGTAATAAAATTATATACTTATATTAATATAATTTAAAAAACCAATACAATATAGTACGTAGTATAACTTCAATACTATCAGATCTTTTAATACATTGAGTGCAAATTGTAATTTTTTTTTTTCTTTAAAAATATAATTTTTTTTTAGAATATATAGTGGCCAATAATGTCAGGTTCTTTTAATATATTAATTAAACTTTATCGTTATTACATAACAATAATAATCGAATAACTTGATTTTGACTATTAACTAGTTCGTCATGTATACCCTATATATATTTACATAATAAATATGATCCTAATGTTACTCTTTTTCTTAATACGTATTACAAATTAACATCTAAATAAAGTAAGTTTTCTATTATAAAAACTTCGATAGTTATATGAAACACTTTATTTAGCAAATCATTAATTTTTAAATATCATTAAATAGAATGCTATTATAAAATCAGGTAATAAAGTAAGAAAGTTATAATGATATCATCTAGGAATATTTATATTAAGTAAAAGTTTACATGAAGAGTATCTAACTATGATATTTAATAAAATAAGAAAAGAATAATCTCATAGAATAATATTTTATTATGTATCACCTAATAAGGTGAAATTACAAGAATTTTTATGCTTCTTTGAGGTTTATAATTTGTGTTGATAGTTACATGAGTCAAGTTTTATAAGTAATAAATTTATATAATTTTTTTTTTTTTTTTTATTTTATTTTATTAAAACCCTAACTATGTTAGTTGGGGACACCATAATTTATAAAATTTATATATATATTACCTTTTTTTTTTTTTTAATCTTGTGCTAATTATATTTCTTTTAATTTCCTTATATAACTTATATACAGTATAAAATGAATATTATTTGTGAAGTCGTTTCTTCAGTTCGCAGCAAAGATAAAATTAATATTAATAAGTTTCTAATGAATAAAAATAAGAGTTACAAAATTACGTTCTACTAGTATTGCGAAAAATAGGATATACTTAAGTATAATAGGAGAGCCGTAACTTAATTAGAGAATAATCAACATTATCTTAAGGATGCATTAGATCATAATCATTCAGCTTATGCGAGCAGACTAGAAGTTGTAAAGACAATAGCTAGAATTAAGGAACAAGCACAACAAACACATGATAAGCCAGCTCAGATTATGCAAACAGTGATTGCTAATAGCTCTCAATACGTATATCTATATCTTCTATTAACTAATGCCCTTAGGCAAACTATTCAAAGGATTCGTCACCTTGATCTTTTTACAAAACCAGGATCTTTAGAGAGTCTTATTATCCCTGAGTACCTAAGATAAACTTTAGATGGATCTGACTTCTTAATTAATAATACTACTATTGGTCATAATAGAATACTTATTTTTACGACTCCTAATAATATTCATTATCTAAATCAATCCCTATATTGGATCATAGATAGGACCTTTAAAACTGTTCCCATTATATTCAAGCAATTATATACTATTCACAGTATGTTTTTTTTAAATTAATAATAATAAAAAATAATTTAATTTAATTTAATAAAAAAAAATTAAATTAATAAAATTAAAAAAAAAAAATTAATAAAAATTAAAAAAAAAATTAAATTAATAATAAAATTAAAAAATAATTTAATTTAATTTAATTTTTAATTTTTAATTTTATTAATTTAATTTTTTTTTATTAAATTAAATTAAATTATTTTTAATTTTATTAATTTTTTTTTTTAATCTTTAATTTTTTAATTTAATAAAAAAAAAAAAATTAATAAAAATTAAAAAAAAATTAATAATAAAATTTAATTTAATTTGATTTTTAATTTTTAAATTTTTTTTTAATCTTTATTTATAATGGTCTGTTTTAGGGTGTATTGGCAGGAGAGATAATTCTAGGGTTATGCCTCTAGTATTTTGTTTAATAACTAATAAGTTAGAAGAATTATATAGAAGATTATTTCAAAAACTAATAGATTTTGGAGAAGTGCATAATATTGATTTGTAGCCTCAAATAATCTTAACAGAATTTGAGAGTGCTGCTATAAACACTGTTTAATTGAAGTTCAATAATGTCCAAAGTAAGAGGTGCTACTTCTATCTAGCTCAAAGCATTTATTATAAAGTTCAAAACTGCGGGCTTTCTTCACATTATGGTACTGACAAACCCTTTAGTTTACTAATAAGGCATATTCCCACTCTCGCATTTTTGCTGTATAATGAAATACCAGATATGTTCAATGAATTGAATTCTATTATTCCATCTGAAGCCTATGAGATCATGCAGTAGTTTGAGGATTATTATATACATGGAAAAATTAGGGGTACACATAAATAGGTTGTGTTACAATTTTACTTTTTTTTGTTTTTTGTTTTTTGTTTTTTAACCCCACGACATAATTATCTAGGAACGTCACTTGACACAATACAATTTTATGTTTTATGTGATTTTACTTACTATAAAGTAAAAACATGTAAGTAAATATTTAGATTATCTCTGTAGCGGTCTGCTACAGTGATAACATAAATATTTACTAATATGTTTTTACTCTGCAACACTTATTTACTTATTTAACATAATTCCAAAATTATAATAACTTACTATAATTACAATCTATACATAGGAACGGTAATGTGATTAGATCTGAACTATTTTTTCCTTCTGATTTCTGGTCAGTAGCCAATACCATCGAATTTGCATACTCTAGGACTCAGAATTCAGTCAAGGCATAGCATAGGCAGTGGGAGACATTAGTAAGCTCTGCTCATGTTAGTATTTTTAGAATAATCAAGAAACTACAGAAAGAACAGAACCAAATTGAGCTCAATATTGAAGTGATTTTAAGAGGTGTGCCAAGACCAGCACAAAGGCGACAAACTATTGAACGCGAAGAATGTATTCAATCAATATTTAATGATCCTAATAATAGGATGCTCATAGAATTCCTACATGGGATTGCCCATAATATTTCTTTGTAGAATTTTTTTTTAATTCTACCTTTTTTTTTATATAATTTGTTATTAGGTTTTTTTTTTCTTTTTTTATTATTTTATTTTATCTTTTTTTATTATTTTATTTTATCTTTTTATTCTATTTATTAAGATTTTACATAAATAAAAATTTTATTTTTACTATTTGTATTCTCACTAGTTGTTAAAGATATACGTATATACCATATTAGCCAAGGTACATATATTGCACTTGATTAAACTTATTTTATAATTTATTGTGTGCAATGATAGTATAATATTAAGTTCAGATTTGTTAAAGGTTAATTTTAGCATAGAAAATAATACCTAACTACTTTTTGTGTTGCATAACCTTATAGTAATAAAATAAATTTTACTCATTTATTTTTCCTTAAAATAAAATCAATAATATTATGATAAAATTAATTAACCAGTGACAATAAATACTGTAAAATAATTTATGTAAAATCTTCTAACATAATTTAATCAATATAAAATAATAACTAAGATCTACTTGTGAATAACTATAAAATTTAATTTTTCGCTTGCAGCTATTCTTATAAATTCTGGAACAATTAATAAAACTTGATGCTGACTTTGATAAGTTTTTTTTATCGCTCGATAAAAAAAAAACTTATCAAAATTAGCATCAATTTTTTATCAGTTGTCCCAGAATTTATAGAATAGCTGTAATACTAATTCTACTTTTTTTTTAAAATTCGGATTAGTTCTTCGCATAATGATAAATTAGGTCAAGTATCACATTGCTTTTTTCTTTGCATAAATATTTTGGTTCTTTGCTTAATATTTTTGTCTCTTTTTTTCACAAATTCAGGTCAAGTCTTCGCGTAATGATAAATTTGGTCAAGTATCGCATTGCTTTTTTTTTTTTGCATAAATAATTTGGTTCATTGCTCAATATAATTCAGTCTCTTCTTTTTTTTTCACAAATTCAGATCAAGTCTTCGTGTAATGATAAATTTGGTTAATTATCATATTGCTTTTTTTTCTTTGCATAAATAATTTGATTCTTCGCTCAATATTAATTCTGTCTTTCTTTTTTTTTTACAAATTCAGATCTAGTCTTCGCGTAATGATAAATTTGGTCAATTATCATATTGCTTTTTTTCTTTGTATAAATAATTTGGTTCTTCGCTTAATATTTTTCTGTCTCTTTTTTTTTTCACAAATTCAGATCAAGTCTTCGTGTAATGATAAATTAGGTCAATTATTGCATTGCTTTTTTTTTCTTTGCATAAATAATTTGGTTCTTCGCTCAATATTAATTCTGTCTTGTCTTTTTTTTTCACAAATTCAGATCAAGTCTTCGCATTGCTTTTTTTTTCACAAATTCAGATCAAGTTTTCATATAACAATAAATTAGGTCAAGTATCGTATTGTTTTTTTTTCTTTGCATAAATAATTTGGTTTTTCGCTTAATATTTTTCTGTCTCTTTTTTTTTTTCTTCACAAATTCAGATCAAGTTTTTGCATAACGATAAATTAGGTCAATTATCGCATTGCTTTTTTTTTCTTTGCATAAATAATTTGGTTCTTCACTTAATATTTTTCTGTCTCATTTTTTTTTTAACAAATTCAGATCAAGTCTTCACGTAATGATAAATTAGATCAAGTATCACATTGCTTTTTTCTTTGCATAAATAATTTGGTTCTTCGCTTAATATTTTTCTGTCTCTTTTTTTTTCACAAATTCAAATCAAATCTTTGCATAACAATAAATTAGGTCAATAATCGCATTGCTTTTTTTTCTTTGCATAAATAATTTGGTTCTTCGCTCAATATTAATTCTGTCTTTTCTTTTTTTTTCACAAATTCGGATCAAGTCTTTGCATAACGATAAATTTGGTCAAGTATCGCATTGCTCTTTACTTTGCATAAATAATTTGGTTCTTCACTTAATATTTTTAGTTTTGTAACATTTGTGATCTGATTGATCAAACTACAGTTCTTAGTTTTGAAGATGCTTCTTATACTTGATTGCTTCTTAGAGCTAAGAATACCTTCTATTATTGCTTTGCTATTTGAGTAAATTCTTATTCTTAACTTTACAGGAGCTACTAGTAAAGCTATCTATATTACATCTAGTTTAGTACAAGTAAAAGAGGGCTAGTTGCCTATTTTACTTTTAAAACTAATGCTATTTTTACTAATTTTATTGCTAGCTACAACCTATTTAACACCTATCTTTTTAACCTCTTTTCCTCTTTAATATTCTACTACAAATGATTTATCTGTATAAAAATTTAGTTCCTTTCTACTATTTAATCTATTTGCAATACTACTTAGTTCATTTTGTAATTCTTTATTACTGATTACTCTTTGAATAACAGCTCTTTCTAGACTTGGAATATTAATTTCTATTTGTATTAGAATTATCTTTTCTATGCTATATATTAATTCTTTTGGCTTTGTAAAGACTAATAGTAACAAGTTAATAATTAATATGTTTTTCTTGCTTATTACCTTCTCTAGTACCTGATGCTAAAAGTTATATCTTAGCTTTATAAGGCAGTTTAAACTATTGTATTTTTTTAGTATACTTCCTTCATATTTGTTAGCTAGAATATTTGACAAATTATTATCTAATTCAATTTATCAATATTTGACTATTATGCATTTGTATTCTTTTTTTATAATCTTGCCTATATCAAAGACTTTTTTTTTTCAAAAAGAATCTATTCTTTTTTTCTTCTGTTAGTAGAAATCTTTAGTTTATTGTATTTTATTGCATTTTGGTTTGTCTTGTTTAGACAAAAAGCTGCTTTAAGAGATCTTAAAGTAGTATTAACTAGGACTTTTTCTTCTATTTCTTAAATTGTAATACAAACAAATTTGCTTGTATTCACTTTTAATTTTTGTAATTTTTAAATAAAACTTTAAATATTAACTTTAAATATATACTTTCTAAGTAAAATATATTT